TGGTTCATACCTTCAAATCAAGCATTTAAAAAAAATAATACAAAGGAGGAGGCTGCAATGCTTGATAAGAAATGTATGCATTATCTTGCCCATGTAATTGTAACCCCTCTGTACAGTATGTTCACAAAAAATAAAAATTAAAATTAAAAAAATAATAATACCATAGTGTTTGAATCAACTTCCTCAGTTCACTGTAAGGAGCGTAACTCTGAAGATGGCCATTTGTAAACACTCTCGCTGTTTTTTTTTAAAATGAAATTAATAGGTTTATACCATGTGAATAAACCTGCATCTATTTAAATGCATTCAATTAACAAATAACTTTTTGTAATTCTTAATCAATGCAAATTCACACCATTAGAATTGGTTTTATTTTAGAAAATGTGGCAAATCTTTGAAATTATTAGTTTGCTTTTGTTTAAATACTTGTGTCAATAAAAGTTGTACATTGTTGCTAAGTTTCCTGCTACGTGCATTTGAACTCTTGGCATATGATAATTCTTGAGTGGGTACCACTGATTGCAGAAGATCTTCAGGTCAAGGGATGCAGTTGTGAGACTCCATTGGTGATCTCCTCTTATAGAGATTTTGAGTTTATTCCTTAAAAGAGCTGATCTTTGATAGGAAAGAAATCCTCATGGTCTAGAAGTTACCCCATGCTATAGCACACATGGAAAAAACACCCTTTCAAGGAGACTCATGAGGAGATGAAGTCTGAGAGTAGCTGGGAGGTTTCTCCTTGGATGGAGTTATAGCTCCCTTGCAAATGAAATTCGGGCTAGTTGTTATTGGTGGACCTAGACCATGATATCAAGAAATGTTTATACACCAGACTTGCTTTAAAGAATAGATCTATTTGAATCAGTACCTTATATTTGAAGGCTTCTGCCTCATTACATTTCAGATCATCTCTTAAGCAAAGGGATGTGCTCTTTGTGGGATCTATGCTCATGAACACCAAAAAGAAATAACAGGATAGGAAAGATTTGATCTGCCAGATGACAGATTGGTATTGCCCCCTCAAGGAATCTTCTGAGATAACAGCCCCAAAGCCATGGCTATGCAGTTGAACCATGTGAGCATCTCAGTGTAACTCCACCCACCTATGAAGAGGCATCAATGGCTTAAAACATTAGTTAATTAAAGTTACAAGTGATAAATATTTGAAACAGTTTCCTTCATGATTACAACCTTAATCAAGACTTTAAAAGTACTTAAACGAGGGCATGGCATAGTCGTTCATGCTTTTAATCATAGCAATATGGAGAGAGGCAGAGGGAGGAGGATTTTAAATTCCAGGCGAGCCTGGACTATATAGCATGTTCTAGTCAGTGGAGGAGGTGGGTGGTGCGGGGGTGGGGGGGCAGTGGGAAGGAAAGAGTTGGGGGAGAGTGAATCCTAACCAGGGCTGGAGTATAGCTCAGTTGTAGAGCACTAGTCTTTTATGTGTGAGACCCTGCTTTTACTCCCCAGCACAAAAAAGGGAGGAAGGGAAGAAGAGAGGGAGGGAGGGAGAGGAGGCGGGGAGGGAGGGAGAGAAGGGGAGAGGGAGGTGGGAGAGAGAGAGGGAGAGGGAGAGGAAGAGAGAAAGAGAGAGAGACAGACAGAGAGACAGAGACAGAGAGAGACAGAACAGAGACAGAGACAGAGACCTTATTGAAAACCTGGGTCTTTTTACTTACGGTCAAAAGTCCAGATCAGAAAGGCAGGAATATGAAGAACTAGTTTCCTTCCCATTCTCCTTTTCTGGATGTGTATGTATGTGTGTGTTTAAGTCCACATTTGTATGAATTTCCTACTTGCTAAACCATCTGTAGTTTGGCTGAAGATACCATGATAGTTTATTCCAGAATATGTCAGCATTACATCCTAAGACTGAAGAGATTCCTCTGCAGATCCACAATGCAACACTCGAGTTGAGAAACTGAGTTTTGTTACAGTATTTTCATTCAGATATCCCCAGTAGTCTCAAAAGGGTCTTGAATAACTCTTAATCCTCCCTGTAGCAGGATCACAGCCACTGCACATGCTTTTATTTGCCATGTCTGCTTGATTTCCCTTAATTTAGAACAGCATCATAGTCTTCTCTTGTCATTTTTAACATGGACACTTTCAAAGCTTTGACCAATTTTGTAGATTATTCCCCCACCCCTTATTTTGTTTTTGTTTTTCAGTTATGGGGCTTGAACTTGGGGCTGGGACTGTCCTTGAGCTCTTTTTGTTCCAGGCTAGTGTTCTGCCACTTTGAGCCACAGTGCCACTTCTAGCTTTTTTGAATGGTTTATTGGAGCTAAGAGTCTTGTGGACTTTCCTGCCTAGCCTGGCTTTGAACCTCGGTCCTCAGATCTCAGCCTCCTGAGAAGCTAAGATTTCAGGCATGAGCACCAGCACCTGGCTTATCCCCAAATTTGTCTGATTGATTCCTTATGTTTGAAATCAGGGTTCTTAATCAAGCAAAAAGACATAAATAAATGAAGGCATAAGAGGAAAGTGGAGCAAGGAAGGGAAAGAGAATGAAAAATGGCAAAAAGTGATAAGCAATGGTCTTGTATCAAAATGTTTTATGAAGAAACTAGAGTAAACAAAGGCTTGTAGATTTGTGTTCGAATTGAAGTTCAGATGTGGATAAACAAATGTGTGGGGTGCTGGATGAGAGAACATAGCACTTTCTAAGAGTTAGTGACATCTGAGATTTAGTGGCCTTTGAAATTTAGTGACTGTGTTTAGTACATTTTTGAAATCTTGAATTTGGGTTGTATTTCAAATTAAAGGAAAAATCAAGTGGGAAAACCCCAGTTATTTTAGTTCATACATAAAAGGAAACATTTTATTGTTCTTGATATGTGCAAACCAGTTTCTTTGGTGCCATTTAGCTTGTGAATAGTTATTTGATTCCTCTAAACTCTTCATCAGCTTCACAAAATTAAAAATGATCCTAAGAAGCTAAAAAGAATACATAGACATCTCATTCTAGGTAGATTAGCATTTAGTGTCATTTTAAAAAGCCTCCAAAACAGAGAATCACAAACCACAAGGAATCATAAAGCCACAAATCCATGCAAGTTGTTCAGGAAGAAAATTTTATTTTTACACCATCAGAGAGAGAGAGAGAGAGAGAGAGAGAGAAAGAGATACAGAGAGAGAGAGAGAGAGACACACAGGGAGAGAGAGAGGGAGAGAGAGAGAGAGAGAGAGAGAGCAAACCAGACAAAATCTGTGAGTGCTTTTCCACCTCTTCTCTCAATCTTCCCAAGAAATAAGAAAGCGATATAGAATTATAGAAGTATTGCTAGGAAATTACAATATTTAAATGTGTTTTTTATAATAATTTATATGCTCATTCTTGACATACTTTTAGTTTTTCCTGGTAAGGGCAGAGTTGTAGAAAAACAAATACCTTTGTTGGCAAGGTATTGCATTTCCTGTTCACATCTCAAGTAACTTTGATTGCTGTCCTTGGACTCTTGCTCCTTTCCCAGCGAGTAATTATGCACTAAATCGGTCTCATTTGCCTAGGTTCGTTTTCTGGGGTTTCCTGTTATTTCCTGGATTGAGACAGAAGTGGGCTTTGTAGTTGACTTTTTTAAGACTCAGCAGAAACTGAGAGCTGTTGAGATTTGAGGTTCTGTGATGTTGATTATTAAGTGAAATTTTGTGTGTACAGAAAAAAAACATGCATCTGTGCTTTGATATTAAAACATATTTTTATTATGAAAAGATCAGATATACCATACAGAATTACATGAAAAACCACAACATGAATTTATTGCTCAACTTCTACAATGACACACTTCTTGGTAATTTCATGACATCTGTATGCCTGTCACCCTCTTCACCATATTATTTTGAAATAAACCTCAGCTGTTTCAACATTTTGTCCAAAAGTGTTCCAGTAAATAACAGCTATTCTTTTTTTCTTCCTGCATTTTTCTTGTTACTATATAGGTGATATACAGAGGGGTTTCAGTTATAGAAGTCTGATAAAGAATACATTTTTTTCAGCAATGTCACCCCCTTGCTCCCTCTCCCCTAACTTTCCTTCCATCCCCCCACAAGTTGTATAGTTCATTTAGAACATGGTGTCTAGTGAGTACCACTCCTGCATTTGTGTATTCTTTGTCTCACATTCTTTTAAGCAGTCTTGAAAGGATGGGATATATGAGTTTATATAGTATTCTACATGTGAATATACAATGCAGATTTTTTTTTTTACAGTTTTTGTTGGCAAGATTTGTAAATGCTAAATCCAAACAACCTTGCTGTGGTATGACTATGGTGGTCACCTGAAGTCATTCATTGCTTTTAGGAAAGCAAATATATAGAGAGTCATATTGTCCAAACGACTCCAGTCTTGGAGAATGAAGCACTGTTAAGGTTTATGAATTGCCTTTGGTGTTTGTTTGTCTTTCTTTCTTATTGTTTTCTGCCATCTATGAAGCTTAGTTGATGAAACTTTTAATTGTGGATAAGTCAGTCACTTAGAGTTATCTCTCAAATTTAAGTTTCTGATGACAAAAATGGGTATGATGCCCCCAGTGCCTTTTTTCCCATATGAGTTTGTCAAATCCTTATGATTTGACATGTGATAAAGAATGTGGGATAATGTCTTGAAAACAATAGTGGATCATGTCTTCCTTTGGCATAAGCTCTTTGCTTTAAAATAGAGAATGCCTAGGATTTTTTTTATTGTGTCAGAGAATTTAAAGATTGGGGAAATAACTACTTAGAATTTGTTTTGGAGTAAATTTTATAATTTAAGTCCTCTTTCCCCCTATCGTAACATACCTTTTCCTGCATAGGTTTTATTAGGGCATTTTACTTTTCTTAAAGTTAACATCAGTGTATTGACTTGGGTTCACTCGTTTTCAACTATTTGTATTCTCAGTAAAACTTTCAGATTGTTTTCTCGATCAGATGTACTCAAAATTAATGCTTCTTTTTGTAAGACTGCTTAGTGATCAGAATGTTTTTTTCTTCTCTCTCTTTTTTTTTTTTTTTAGCCTTGCCTCCCCGATTGAAAGAAATGAAAAGCCAAGAATCAGTGGCGGGCTCCAAACTAGTGCTTCGGTGTGAAACCAGTTCTGAATACCCCACCCTCAGATTCAAATGGTTCAAGAACGGGAGTGAGTTAAACAAAAAAAACAAGCCACAGAACATCAAGATCCAAAAAAAGCCAGGGTAAGTATAATGCACATGATAATAGTCTGTGCCTAGAGCAATAGGATGTTGTTAAGTATATTTTTTATAAGTTTTTTTTATTGTGAAAATGCTGTGCAGAGGGGTTACAGTTACCTGAGCAAGGTAATGAGTACGTTTCTTTTTTTTTTAATTTTATTTTATTTTATTTGTGAACATACTGTACAGAGGGGTTACAATTGCATGGGCAGGATAATGCGTACATTTCTTA